TCTTCTCTTGAGAAAGATACTTATTATCTAATCTATTGTTCAAATCGGTCTATATACTAAAACAAAAATTATTTATTTCAAAATGCAATATCTACTGTTGAATATATTGCTTGACTTAATCTAAATAAAAAATAAATAATAAAAACGATTTATTCTAAAATAAAGACGTACCTTTGTACTGGGCACTGAATTCAAAACGGACAAGCTACTTGCTTGGGAAATGCAACTCAACTCATGACTATATTACGAATGAATGAGACGATATACTAAAATCGTATACGACTACCGTTTTCTTTTTGACGCATTTCATAGCATACAACTGTTTATGATCGTGCCTTTTCTACCTGAGCAGCAACGTTTTTTACTTTCTGCTTTATATAGCAGATAAATACATACCCTGCGTTAAGGTTCACAACCCGTAGTTTTGTTACATGTGTAATAAATTGTTCTGCTATGTTCTATATAGTGCGTATAGTGCTTTGACCGTTGATTTTTAATCGCTGCTTGTCCTCCATCAACATTATCAAACATAACCTGGTTAACCTAATATTTTGATTTGGTATTAAACTCAAGTCAGAGAAAAAGATAGAAGCACAGTATCTAGATCTATGTCGTACATAACATCTGTACTACATGGTACAACCCTAGTGGCTGTATTGAGCTAAAGTACTCATGCACTGGGTCACTTGACAGGAGACTACTTTTTCGAATACTTTGTCACTAGTATGTCACAGAATCTTCGTTGGATATTCTGCTTAGAATTGTCTCAGTACATAGATACTTGTCTGGTATCTGTTTCATTTTTATAGCATTGTATAAAAATTTTTTCAACAAGTTGTTAGATTAAATATTTAGAAGCATTTTATAGCCAAGTGCTAAAAGCTCATCAAATACTCAAAGATTTCTGTGACATACTGGTAGCAGATTAACCTTAAATAAGTACATTCCCTAAGTAGAAAACAAAGAAAGAAAGAAATAAAACTGAATCGCACTATAGTGTATTTCAATTTCTATACTTACCCATTGATTTAAATGACGATAAGCAAGTTTTTATTTGCTGATCTTTAAATATATTAACAAACTTGGTTCATCATTAACCAACTGTTTAAGTAATATATTTTAATTTGTAAGATTTGCATAATAAATCTATTTGTAAAAATATTCCTAACAAACAAAAGATAATAGAAAAATCCGAGTGCACAACAGATTACGCTTGTCATTTATAGAAATCTGATTCATATTGACACGAGATGAGCTTTGATAAAAACTACAGATAACAATATTTGAGCTTATTTTCATGATTCTTTTTATACAAAGAGTCTAAGGATTTCATCCTATCGTTGTATAATTAACTAATTAGGATTTACTATAGTAGTTGACCTATTGATATATGTAAATCGGATATACTATTCAAACAAATTAGAGATTGGCAAAATCTCGACATCATACTGGTATTAAGTGTATTCCAATTGAATCTAAAGAGAAGCATCATCCGGAAGAATGAATTCTCACTCTCATTCTCATACATTCTTATTGATACTAAAAATAAAATCTCGAAAACAAAACAAAGTCTAGAAAATTCTTATTCATAAATTATCATTCAGAATACTGAAGCTGTCTTTCTCAAAGCAAATACGAATGTATATGCAGCATCTAATAAACAAATCTTCAAAACTATATATGTAAATGACTATTGATGAGTGTCATTATATTAATTTAAATACGAATATTTTGATAATAAGTTGTTTATCACATTATATTAGACAAGTAAAATATATGTCATTCATAAATGAATCATTTGTCTTAAGTTACATCTAATTAGCTGTACAAAAAGCGTCAATTAAACATGTACATATATTTATATATCTTCATCTGAATAATAATTTTTTTTTCTATAAAACATAAAGAGAAATACATAATTTGATCATAGAATCTATTTTCAAAATCAACGGTATGTAACGTGTATTACGTTGATCAGTTAGATTTGTCCTCAAAGCATTGATCCATGATTTCTATTGCAAAAAAAAACAATACCAATAATTGACAATTGATGCAATCCATCAATCGATCATGTAGAAATGTTTATAATATTTATTTTGTTCATGTCCTTTACCTAAAAAAATTGTTGCTTATATATTGTAATAGGCTCAATAGTATATTAACAGAGACCTTGTTAATCCCACTTAGACTTGTAATCAATCGTGCTTGTTTTGTTTTACCCAAGGCTAACTGTATCTTAAAGACAATGTTTTTTTTTGTATTGTATTGATTGTTTATATTATCTATTCTTGCGTTTCGCTAAACCAATACATCTCTATATATATTCTACCATTAGAAAAAAAATATTTATTCAGAATAGTTGATGTGCGGCTTTTGTTGGTTAATCACATGGCTCACTACTCTTTTATTATACTGTTTTCAATGTCATCGATGATAAAGGTATTTCTATGCTGTATTATGTTAAAGAAAAAATATGATTAAATATGTATTCTATATAATTGTATATATATATATATATATATATATGAAAGTTCTTGTTATCTCCCATGATACATATAAAACATGCAGAGATAAGTCAAAAGTTTATTTAAGCTGACCTTAATATGTATTACTTATTTCTCTAAGGAAATCGAATAGTGCACCTGTTAAAAGCTTCCGTTATGCATATGAACAAAAGCGGAAGAACTACAAATGGATGTGCTATACATGTGGAAATGCTTGATAAGATAACCTTGCATACATTACAGCGAGATATATGAATGTATATTTGACCTCGTAATTGAACGTTCCTTGATATGTGAAAGACCTTCGAGTGTACTTAGTATGAAAAATTATCTTTTTAACAATTTAGATAGTAGGGTCATCGTTTGAGTCAGCAAATTAGACATTATGACTTTAGCGGAAATCGAATCATCTTTTCACAGTCATTTGTCATTCAATTTAAGTTCATATCGACCGGATATTTATAGAAACTCATTGATTTCATTTTGTTATTAGCGAGAATTAAGAGTCTCTTTTATTTATTTTATATCGTGTGTCTTCTATAACACACAACATCGAACTGAGGGCCCATAATAATAATAATAATAAAAAGAGAAAATGTTACTATGCCATATAATGGTGTATAAATGAAAGATGAAGGACGAATAAGAAGAAGAGAAGAAAAAAAATCACTGAACGATCCTACAAACAAAACGAAGAAAGAAAAGAATCTTTAATACCACTCAATAGGTGACTCATACACATCGTGCACTACACTTGAAGAAAAGAGAGAAGAAACAAAAGATTTTTTCGGGGCATATTATACAAAAAAAACAGTAATCGAAAGTGTTGCATATACTGATGTTTTGTTCAAAACATCTCGTTAAAGTGAGTTAATCGACTGTTACTAATACTGACTGTTTTTATTCTCGAATGACAAAATTCTATAAGTTGGTATTTATATTTTAAAAAATGCTTGTATTTATTTCTACTACTCTTATTAATATCACCATTGGTATATAATTTCTTGCTTTAATTAAACACATATGATAGATTACATTATATGAGATATAGAGCACGTAGAACAAATATAACATAACCATTTCTATATAAGTAACTGTGTACTACATGTATATCTGATAAATGTAGTGTAAGATGGGTGAACATACACACGATTTATTCATTATATATATATATATTTTGAGAGAAAGAGAATAGAGTAAATTGTCCACTTCAATCATTTTATTTGGCGGATTGAATTTTTTTCTTTCTTGCTTTGCGAATTGAATTCTATTTGGTTGAAATAAGCACTTTTTTCTTTTTGCTTGTGATGTTTTCGTTAGTTTTATACGTCTTATAAAAGAAAAAAAAACTTGTTTTAAATCAATAAGCATGTCTTGTAATTCTCTACTGCCATTCTACTTTTGTCCAATTGAACTACGCAGAACTTAAACAAAGTACAAATGCTCTTTTTTTCATTGTTGTAAACTGTTTCATCTATTTACTTAGCTATATACAATCCCCATGTTCTATTCTTATGTTTTTTTCCGTTATTTTCCTATTTTCGACAAGATGATGTCAAAGATTCTATCTGCTTTCAGTTCTTTCTTCGTCTATTCTTTCAATTAAGAAAATATCTGTTTTTCCATTTTTTTCTCTCTCCCTTTCTTTTTTCCTGACGTTGCCGTCTTCATCGGTTCACGCCAAGGACATCATCATCATCATCATCCTCTTTTTTCTACATAGAGCAAGAGAAAGCTATTTCCGGATCGTAAAAGAAACTTTTTTTTCCTTATTACTTCAATTGTTCTTGGTTTCATTATTGCTCCAGATTCGATAAAACAGGAAAAAAGGAGATAGATATTGGTTTGTAAAATATGCATACATCAATCATATTTGTCAAAGAATCTCTTTAATGACACATACAATTTTTATGAAAGAAATCTCATTTAGAATACGATAAAGTAAGTCTCATAATTCATCACTTGTCCGTTTTCTATTTAGTTTATCAGAAAATTGATCATAGAATGTATTTAATACAGTGAACATATAACCTTCTGTATACTATTTGTTTGTTAATGTTATTCTTGTGATCAACGAGTTACATATGATAGACGACATTAGTCAGAACAATATACCTAAAGGAAACATTAGTAATCTTATTTCATTTGTCAATGTAACGCATATGTAACTTCAATAGATTAGATTTCTCCTGTAAATTAAGAAGAAACCTTGTGTTTTTTTTAATGATAATGAGTATTGACTCGTAAAATAATAACTTAGTTTCTAAATATAGTAGTAATCAAAGTAGACTTTCAGTTCGAGAACATTATCCAGCTGTCGCTTGTAGAAATGAGAACTACTGGCATGTGCATACTATGTTTATTCAAGCACAGAGAGAAGATATGATGACAATATGAAATGGGTATACTATTTCTTTTCTTTTTCTTTTGTTTGTTTTAGATTTAATTGTTTGTTGTTGTTTTTTTTTTCTTTTTTATTGAAAAAGAAACAAATTAATGAAACTAAAAGAATATTTAAACTTTCTTGTCTCAAGACGAAAAAGTAATGCATCATCAAAATCTCATAAACCAAAATCTCATCATCAATCAATTTCATCAACAGATTGTCATTATGAAATATGTGGATATGACGATGTTAATAGAGTTCCTATGGATAATCATCATAGTCGTACTGAAATGCTTCTTACACGTCATGCTCAATTAGTCAATACAATTATTGGAATACGTTCACAAGAAAATTTATGTTCATCATGTCCACATTGTCGAATATTACATCAATCACAAGAAAAAAATTTATCTTTAAATCATAATTATTCAAGTACATTAGCAACATCTAATCCACGTCGTGAATACCAACAAAATCAAACAATTATTTCATCAAGTAATAATTCTCTATGGACAAAAACACGACAACGTTCAAAAATTCGTACAAATCCTTGGATTAACACTATTCGAACATCACAACCGGAATATTTTATTCATGATCCTAAATTATCTTCAACACTTATACATTCAGAATCATTTCCACAAACAATATCTAATGGAAATATTCATTCAATAAATCCATCGAATATAGTTCTTCATCAAAGTGATAGTGGACATGGATTTTCATTATCAAGTTCAAGAGTTATTGATTCATCATCACCTGATAATACAAGTATTGATGGACCTTTATTAGATGAAAAACAACATGGTTCATATACAAATCATGTAGAACAGTATTTTCCTTCAAAAGCGACAATTCCTTCTGATAAGAAACGAAAAATAAGACCTATTCAATCTCGTTATCAACGTTCATTAAATACACGAATATCTAGTAGTCCCAAGAAATCTATTAATCGTAACTATCATTCACGTAGTTCATCACCACGTTTATCTAATGATCATTTTTCTATTGAATTTGAAGAAATAGTTGAAAATGAACATTCACATAAACAAAAATCATCAATACGAAAAAGTCCATTTATATTACCATTAGATGAAACTGATGTTAAATTATCATCTCCATTACCAACATTATATTCAACAGCAACATTAAAAAAAACTAATTCACGTGTTATATTAAATCATATTGAAGAAATTGAAAATGAAATTCGAATGATGACAACTTTAAATTTTGATCACGATGAACATATGCATTCGTCAAATATTTATCCAAAAGAAAATGAAAAAAAATTCATTCAAGAACAAGTTAATCAATGGGTTGAACAATGTTTAACAACTAATAAAAATAATAATTCAACAAATCTTCTTCATACTCAATGTGATAATTTATCTAATACACTTAAAGATTATGTTGTATGTGTATGTCCAAATGATAATGATAAAGCATCAATTTTACCAAAATCTCAAAATAAAACTGAATTAATGACAGCATTTTATTTAAGTTCAATACCAACAATAAAACGAACATTTTCATTGCTTGATCAATCATTACAACAATCGAAATCTCGAACAATGACAAAAGATTTCAAATTTATGCATGAATGTCCATTTTAACAGTCTAAAATGAACAGTAGTCGTCTTTTCTATTTGTATACGTGTGCAGTATGATTAGTTTGTCATTATTAATTCATGCAAAGTATCGAGACATGTATTCTTGCGTATTCTTAAAAAAAGCAAACAAAATATAGAATGAAAATTCGACCATCCAAAAAAAAGTATATTTAAACTATTTTATCATTTTATTTTCTCAGTTTTATTAGACGAAGAATCTATTTGAGGTAATAATTCAAGCAAACAAAAGACAAATATTCTTAACTATTCGAGTCACTAATCATAGTTATGCGTTTGTTCACAAAACAAAAACTAAAATTAATCATCATCATTTTATCATAGTCTTTCCGGTAATTTTAGCATATTATATTTTGTCAAGATCGAGATAATCGATTGCCGTGACATTTTCTGTAACGGTACGCTCTATTATTCATTACATAAAAGCAACAATAAGACCTTCTGGTTCTATTAAATATTTTGACATACTTTTCCTATTGATTGCTGTGTCAACTTATAACAGGTGTTCTTACAAATCCCTAATCATACCCTCGCAGCTGCACTAACAAATTATTATTCATATAGGAATAATTTGTTGCAATGTCTTTGTCGAGAGATGTTGACGCAAAACATACGATTGATAATGACATTGTCAATAATGTATTCGAATAATTAATCTTGACTAGTTTGTATGACATGATATGTAATGTTAACATAATTGTGGCTTTTTGTTTCAATAGAAACCAATGTAATGAACACAACAGCGAGCAAATATTGAAACTATTGGGATAAAAAGGTTAACTGGTCATAATGTAGCGAGTTTATAAAAACAATTGAGAATTTCGAAATGCTTTGTTTCTTTCGGTAACCGATCTACCGCCATGACTAATTGGCTACGTAGTTCAGCAGGTATTCACAAGGTACTCTACGTCAACCTCAGTGTCATCAGTCATGAAATGACCCTGGACATGTCACTATCGGTTATTTGTCTCAGATCATCCGTCCAATTGCATACTGACTACGTTGTGACGTTCACCTACTCTTGTGACTAGTTAGTATATGTATGGAACTATTGAACTTGTCATTAGGCAGCACTCCATACCACAAGGTAGCCGAAAGACAATAGTATTCTTCTCCTTCTTCTTCTTCTTTCTATAATTGACCTAGATTTGTAATGATAACTTTATAAAAGTCAGTCTTCATTGTATAGACTTTTACTAAATATTCCATTCGTATAATATGCATCGATCTGTTCTTTATTATTCACATGGTTTTTCCATAAAACTTTCAAATACTTTTATCGATCAGATTTACTTTTGACTATGTAAGAACCTTTTGAATTCATTCATGAAACATAAGGTGCCGGCAATGCAAAATTGGAGTGAATTTTTTTTCTCGTTTGTTTGTATATGATTTGATAGAGCTTGAAAAGATGATCACGAATCAGTCTCATTGGTTGTTTGATAGCGTCTTTCGCTGTCAATTGGCAGCTAACTTTGATCATGTTATGCTTGGTATCTTTAGTTATCGGTAGTTCTTTTATATTTTGTAAGGTAAGACATATTGTTCAATTAATTAAATTTATACAAAATACCTTAGCTTACTGCTAATGCAACAATCCATGCTTTATCCATGATAGGTTGGATTATACTGGATAAAATCGAAAAAGTAATACATTATTAATATCATTCAATTTTCGAGAAAATTTTCTTCTTATCTTTGAATTAGATTCTTGGTTAAATGCTCTTTATGTTCTTGAAGCTTCATCTATGTTAAAAATTTCTCAAAAACAATATACATTTATTATACATTTAGTCGATGAATTCGGACTCTTTTTTGATGTACTTGAACGAAATGAAAAATCAAATTGATTTAATTAAACAAAAATCTTTTATTAAATAATTCAACTAATGAAATACAAATAACAACCTATTGAAATGTTCTAATAACATTTACACTTATTGTCTTGGATAGTCTTGAAGATGCTATTGTTAAACTTCCTACACCTACTTTGTCAAGTTTATCTGAAGTTGATATTGAATCTAACGTACATGATACATCCGATACAAATGTCATTATTGATATATTACCAACATCAGCACCTATTCTTGTTAGTAAAATTAAAATAGAAAAACTGATTACAAATAAAAATCTTGATTTATCAGAACAAAAACGATCGAAATTTGAAGGAAATATTCAATGTAGATTAGAAATAATTGCAAGATGTTCACGAGATTCATTCATATCATCATCGGTGAATATGAGTGATAATAGTAATAAAACTTCATCACAATAGGATTTCAACGATGAATTAGATGTTAATCTTAATGCACCTGTATTTAATAATGATTTTGAAGAACAACAACAAAAAGTAGCATGTATTGAATTAGATGATGATAGTATTAGTTTAATAGAAAAAAATTATAATGGAATGAGAACATTAGAATCGATATGCTTTTTGATAAAAATGAAAGTCCTGATAGTATTTTTTTTTACATAGATGTTATGATAATAGGAAAACTAATTTTTGAACTTTGACTTAAAATTTTGCATAGAGCCAAGCCTGAACGAGCCTAGGTTTTTTTTTTATTTGCTTCTATCTTGAAGTAAGAACATCAAATTATTCTTGTTGAGACTTGCCTCTATGCAAAGATTCTGATCCAGATTACAAAATCATTCCTCTTTAAGCATCTTCAAGGATTTTCATCACTACAAACTGTTGTTAACACAAAATCATCACTGAACATGATTATCGAGTGTATACATATTCTTCGACAAATTGATGGAAAACTGATTGTTCGAAAGACGACAGATAATGGTAAGAATGATATAGATAATTCATGTATTGAAAACATGATAAGTCTTCGTTTCATACCAAAAACCTGGAATCTTTTGGTTTACTATTACAATTCTCCTAAGAAAACTTCTCATTATTGTTGTGACTTTGAATTTTGATGAAACTGGTCTATGTAATATTAAAGTAACACATTGTTTTCCTAATAATGTCTTGATAAATCTTATTATGAAAGTTTATTTTGCTTGAGAATTGATGTTGTAAATTTTAAATTCTTAATTTAGATGATAAAGAGAATATAACGACTTCGTTTTGAATTAAATACTCATAAAAAAGAAATAAGTATTTTTTGTGGTAACAACAATCAAGGAAATGAAATGATAACATTATGTGTTTTTTTGTTTTCATTATTTTGATAATTTATTCACGACTTATTTACTAATTTTGATTAACGTTTTCGATGACAGTGCTTCAAATAAAGTGTTTAATCTTTTTTCAAAATTATTTTTTTTTTCTTGTGAATAAATACTCATGGCTCAAGGTGAAATATATAATTTATGTGTATTTTAGATTTCATTTTTTTTTTTCTAATGGCCGATATGATGAATGACGATCGTCATATTGTTGCTGAAGATTCTAGTATAGACAATATAAAAGCATAAAAGAATTCAATGTTCCCTAAACTGATCTCTGATTGATTTATTACAAGTCAATTTTTTTTCGGATTCGATTTCATACTCGACCTGCCAGTGATTCGGTCTTTATTTTGCAACTAATTAAGATAAGCGAAATGATTAAGAGAGAAAGAAGACGTACACAACATTATAGACTTATTTATTCGTGAAACAAGTTCTTACCGTACGGCTAAATTTGATGACTAGCTGTACTTGATCAAACTCTCCTCTCTCATATGCTAAGAATACTGTTTCTATGTATGACATTTTTTCACGTCATTCGTCTTGATCGAACTGATTTTTTTACTGAAAGATTCGCTGCTCAGTTCTCTACGAACATATTTGTTGTAGAATCCGAAGATACACCATGCGATGATAAATAACGAGAAACACGAAAATGTAAAAAAAAAATGTATTTTCTTAAATAGAGCTAGATTTTTTCGAATGATTTCACAAGCACTAGAACATGGTCTCAATGTATTTTGAGTAGTTTCAAATACGCTCTACCTCTTCGTGTAGAATGCAAATCATTTAAGTATAAGTATACGATGCAAAGATTAGGTTCATGCCAATCAAGCGAAAAACAAAAAAAAGTTTTTATTTGTTTTTGCATGGTTGCGCAAAATAATGTTTTTTTTTTCAACTGTACAGATTCGATCTGAACGATTAAGTATTGGTTTTCAAAATAAAGGAAATAATCAACCTGGATGAATAACATTTGACTAAAATATTTTTGTTTTTTGTCGGAAAACTTAAATGTTAGATTAAAAAGTCGTTAGTTTTTGAAATTTTGACAAAACGGTTATGGATGTGAGTGAAAAAATCGAATAGTTACACCTACACCCATATGCTCGAATAAACTATAGAGATTTGCGGTTTTCATCTGACCTTTTTGAAAACCAACGTACCTTGCAAGGTGACTAGGAACCATTTTTTAAAATAAATTTGATTAAAAACCTTCCAGAAAAATTTTAGTGAAATCTATAATATCTCATTTGATACGAGTTCATCTTCTCTTTCCAATGGTGAAAATTGCAGTGTCGTGTGTTGTTTTCTATCGAAAGTTATTCAAAAAAAAATACTGACTCGCCTTTATTTTTGCAATGGCCATTAGTTTACTTTATACGATCTACTATTGTTGATTCAAGCATAAAATAGATTGTTGAAATTTTTGAAACTCTCGTAATCATTCTTTCGTTAGAGTTTTATGTCTATAGAAAATCATTTTTATCAACTTTATATTTCATCCAATTTTCTTGTTTGGTATAATATTCTCTTAAAAAATATTTTTCTTGGCATTATCAAGAATTTCTTAAGTGATTTTTTTTGTACTATATAAAGATTATAACGATATTTCATAGAGTTGTTATTTTTATGTCTTGATGCTGAATACAGAACAAATCTTGTAAATAAGTTTAAATATGTATATTATTTTGAGTTGGAAATTAAAATAGTTTCTCAATTATGGATTTCAAGTATCTTCAAACAAGTACTTTTTATTAGTTCGATATGTTCAAATATTCGATTTATATTTGAGTATTTGAAAATGAGATATTTTTGACTGGTTAATTCATTGATGAGAATCATTTTAATGCAATAAATGGATTCTTTATCTCAAGGATCAATTTACAAAACATTGAAGAGTCAAAGGTTGAAAATGTTGGATATTTTTCATTAGTTTACTATACGATTCAAAATCTCTCAATATTCATACTTTACTTATATCCTGTCCTAATGCGGGAACTATCCCAACTGCTATGCATCGTTCAAGCTCATATTGGACCCACCTGCAAATCTCAATGAGAATAGCAAAAGCCTCAAAAGTTTTGTCTCCTTTGGCGCCGACTTATGACGAGTTTACTGGATTTTCAATCCATTTTTAGGAACTCTGTGAAAGACCGAATAATGAAGTATTGATTGAAAATTTTGTCTATAGATGATCTAATGACTCTTAGAATACCCTGAAAGTTTCAGCCGAAAACAGTGTACCATCATTGAGCTATTCAATTCTCAAGTGAACTCGATCTTTGTGACAAAAACCTATTTTTAGAAATTCAATATCTTTACAGAGGAACATTCTTTTCGGCTGAAACTGTCAAAATATTCTAACAGTCATTAGATCCATCCATAGACAACATTTTAGATCAAAATTTTATGATTTGTTTCTTTTTTTTTGTGAAATACCTACAAGTGAAGCGAAATTTTATTAAACCAATCATAACTCTGCGATAAAGGCTCATGGAGACAACTCATTTTAGGCGTGAATCCAATCTCATGTGATTCGAACCGGAAAAAAACCGGCGGTATACCGCCGGTAGACCGTTCGGTATAATGTGCGCTCTACCGGCGGTTAACCGGCGGTTTTGCCGGTAGTTGCAAAAAAACCGGCGGTATACCGGCGGTTCACCGCCGGTATTTACCGGTAGTAACAAAACAACTGGTGGTATACCGGCATGATTAGGATACGAATCTACTGATCCTTAGTCTTAGGAATNATGAACTTGAATTTTTAAAACAATAATGAAATTTCAATTTTCGAAAACTTAATTATTAATTATGCAATTTTTTTCAAACAATTTAATAAAAATTAAGTTTAATTTTACTCTCTTTTCCAATCAGTTTCAATTCAAAAAAAAAAAGTTTAAAATTCATTGAAATAGTTTATAATTTCGTTTTATATTCATGTTCGCAAATGAGAAGATACGATCAGAACAGTTTATTGTGAAAGTTTCAGATATTTTCGTTGCTCCTATACTAAGATACGATCGTGGTAAAGATTCACAAGCATTTGTTGCCAGTTGATAGTGAACATGAAGAACCTATGGCAATGATTAGGTTTTTCTTTGGTATCATTAGTTTCTCTTAACATAGAGACTGTTGAATGTTATGAACAACTACTAGTAGTTATCACTTTGACACTTCTCTTGTTTATCAGCATTATCAATTTTAAGAATGATGCTGGAAAGTGATCATTGTACATGATGGTATCAGGAATGTAATGATGACGGTGATCTTCGGACTTTGGTAGAACACTGTACTGTTGTAGTTATGTATGTATAGACTAACGGTAAAGACGGTAAACGCATCATAGAATTATGATAGTCTTAGCTTGATTTTGGTTTTTCTTAATTGAAAGAAGCCTATTTGAAGAAAATAGTCGAGTTTCATAAAACGTGACTGAACCGTTATACAGCTACGCATTTCTTGAACGCGAAAATCAAACTTGAAAATTGAGACACAGCCACCTTTAGATTCCGATTCCTTGACCCCAGAAACTTATAGTCAAGTTTTATAAAATTCAACTATTCATTAGAAATGAAACTCACTTGACTGAGAAAGTCGAAAGTAATCTAAGATCACCATTAGTCTATACGTACATATCTAGACCAGTGCATCGAAGGTACAGTGCACTATCACTATTGTATTATCCATAGACGGCATTATCATTTATAAAATGATTGTTTCGATCATTGGTTTGTCTGCGTTAAGGAAGGCGATTACATTTGTTCAGAATTCCATTATCGTCAACTTCCAAATCTTAACTAATAGATAGTTCGATCAGTAAAACTCATTAAGTTTTGCATAATTTTTTTGTCAATTAAAAGTAAAAAAAAACCTCTATCCTTTTTGTCATGAGATAATACTCAAAAACTATACAATGATCTCTTCATTCGAATTGTACTACAAATAACTTCAAAATAGTTCAATCAATTCTAACATAAATTTTTCTGACAATCATATTGAAAATAATTTATCACGAATTTTCTAATTTCATCCTTTCATTAAGATAATTTTTTTTTTTGAATAAATAAATTTTCTTTTTGTATTAAAAATTAGCTGTAATGAATAACGAAAACAGAATTCGATCTATTCTTTTATTTTTAACTCATAAAATTGATTCATGCATATATATTCGCTGAATCTAAACTGTACGGAAACGACCAGTTGATGATCCTATTGAGCACACAATAATTTACTATCTAGAGAACAAAATACACTTGGATTATGATTAAAAAATAACTTATCGTTGTTCTTGATACGTTTGGATTACATATGTTTCTGACTTATCATGCGAAAGATAATATGTTCATTTTTATCTGCTACATACATGCCAACAAATGTCATGCACGATAAAATGTGTATTATTTAGAATGTGAAACATGTTTGCACGTATCTGTTAATATAAAGATATTTGCTTTGCCTTCAAAAGCATAGTAACAAAGACATGTTCGTGTGCTGAAGCATCTTTCTTAAGAAAATATATATATATATGAAATGTTACATATATTAAACATTTTTCTGTAGAAAAATTAACATTTTTACCAGATTGAATACCCTCGTTAAAATATTCTTGGCTAGGTATCTGCATCGTGCTTACATCGAAACTAACAAGCTAAATATTTTTGATTGTAGCGACATCTGAAAACAGCCCCGTATGATTCGGTTCTCCTCTCTATCCAATAAAATAATGTCATACATCATGAACGTGCAATACTCATTGAAACCTATATTATAAACCTTTTTTAATAGTTCATTACCAGGTGTTAAACAAGTTCATATTGGTTTAAAAGCATAAAAATAATTTTCTTTAAAAGTAAGAATAAAAACATGACATATTAACATATATATATGTATATAACTAATCAATAATTTTTAATAGTATTTGATAAGATCATCAGAACAAAAAAAACATGGTGATAGCTCTCGAGCCATGTTCAGTTGAGCTATTATGGATATTAATATTTGGTTTCCTTGTTGCATTTGTATTAGCATTTGGTATCGGAGCAAATGATGTAGCTAACTCATTTGGTACAAGTGTTGGAAGTAAAGTTCTAACATTAAAACAAGCATGTATTCTTGCAACAATATTTGAAATACTTGGATCAATCTTAATTGGTATATAATCAATGAAAAGAAATTGTATATATATTTTATTGATTAATTTTAATTAATTATCTAGGTGCGAAAGTATCTGATACGATAAGGAAAGGTATTATAGATCCAACTTCATTTGAAAATCCTAAAGAATTAATGCTTGGACAACTTTCATCATTAATTGGTAAATTAAATTTAATGTTTATTGGTTTTTTATTTTGAAAATAAAAATAATTGTTTTTTTATATAGGTTGTTGTATTTGGTTATTAGTTGCAACATTTTTTAATTTACCTGTATCAGGTACACATAGTATTGTAGGTGGTACAATTGGTTTTGCTCTTATATCTCAAGGTTCACGAAGTATAAGATGGAGTGTATTTGCTACAATTGGTGTGTACGATAATAATTTCTTAATAATTATATTTTTATTTATAAAATATAATAGGAGCTTCATGGTTTGTTTCACCTGTATTAGCTGGTGTTATATCAATAGTTGTTTTTATACTTATTCGAAAATTTATTCTTGAACAAGTAAGTTGTTCTTTTTCTTATTTTTGATATTGATTTGTCAATGAAATAAATTTGTGTTTTTTGTTTAGAGTAATCAAATGAATGTTGCTCTTCGTTGGTTACCGGTGTTTTATGGTGTTACAATTATGATTAATGTCTTTTCAATAATTCATTCAGCACCACCAAGTTTGTTGTTGGAGAAAGTAGTTTTGATAATATTATTATTTTTTTTATCAATTTAGTTTTATATTTTGATCGTATTCGATTATGGGGAAATTTTATAATAACAATTAGTACTGGTCTTATTATTGGTCTTACTGTTTTGATAGTTGTTAAACCACGTTTAAAAAAAAGCATTGAAGGTGAAAAGATGTTTATTAGCTTTTTTTTAAACAAAACATGTTTGTGTTACTTATCTATTTTTAGCAACATTAAGAAAAAAACGTGGACCAGAAAGTACAGAGGAAAAACCACAGTTAACTAAAACTGATGGTCGATTTGAAACATATACAGGTACTTATAGTTTTTGTTTTTACTGATAAACTAAAAATAAAGACATTTTTTTGAAAGATTTTAATGTAAAAGTAAGTGTATAATTATTTAAGCTATTGATCAAACAAAAAAAAAACAATTATAACATTCTTTAGAAATGATCAACTTTCAGCGCTTACAAGTTATTTTACTAATCGTAATGCTTTATTATTAGCTCTTAATAAAAATCTTTGGTCGTAGGCTCTCCTAGGGAGAATAAATTATGAAAATATTCTGAACAATTCAAGCGATTGACATTATGATATTAGGCTAATTTGTGTTATTTGTGATCCTGAAATAACAATTCCCAATCATGTTTCAAGAAAGTTCATTATAAAACCTATGTCATTAGGTTTTATATAAGCATGAGAATGTACTATTGACAAACTTTCTAAACGTCTATAAATTAATTTTGAATTATAAAATATTTATTAAATTCAAAAGCTAAATATCAAATTTTAAAATAAGTCATAAAACAATTATCATTTAAATCGCTTGAATTATTTCAGAGATATTCTCAAAAAATTGTCAATATAATAAATTTTAACATAAATCATTTTGTTTATTTTCATCTCATTAAATTTAGTAAGTCGTCTTGAAAATGTTAATACAAGTGATAAAGAAACTCAAATTGATCATATATCTATGCTGAAAGAATATGATTTAATACGTTATCAACAACAACATCCTGATCAATTTCGTCCTTATGGTAAATTCTTAATTATTATTGTTTTGTTGGTTTTTAGTTTTATTAATAAAATTATCATAGTTGAAATGCAACGCATACGAAAAGATTCTGAAACATCAACTTCTGTATATAGTGCAGCCGGACGTGCACGTCGAGAAAGTGATCGTCTTCGTACTGAACTTGTATCAGATAATGCTAATGTAATGGCACATAGAAATGTTACTAATCCAATAGTTATTCGTGAAGTAATAAAATTCAAAAGAAAATAAATTATTTTTGATATTTTATATTTTTAAGAAAACAAAAATTTATCGTTTACCACAATATCCAAATTCACCTAGTATTCCAGGTTCAGCACTTAATGAAAATAAAAGTTTATTATTTGCTTCTGGTAATGGATGTTTATTTTCTTAGAATGAATTTTAATATTTATTAATTATTAGATGATGATAATGTTTCAACAACATCAGTAAATCATATGAGTTCAAATGAAGATTTAGATGAAGTAGAAGATAAAATGCCAGAAATACCACCAAAAAAAGTTTGTTGTTGTTTCTTTGATAATTAGAATGATGATTTTTTTTGTTTATTTTTTAGAAAAAAGTTGATACAACGAATGATTCATTAGAAATTGCTACTATTTTTAAATATTTACAAATTCTTACAGCTATATTCGGTGCATTTGCTCATGGTGGAAATGATGTCAGGTAGAAGAAAAACTGTATTCAAATTTTATATTATTGTTTCTTTTGAATATTTACGAGTTTTTACTAGCTGAGATAAAGTAATAGTCTTAGATCTTATATAAAAATTAGATAAGAAAAAATGTGAATCAGGGGTAGAGAAATTATATCGGATTTGTTGTTACGATTTCATGATTGTATATAGAAGACTTTGAAGTGAGAAAATAATTTAAATATAGAATAATTTAATCATTTGAATACTCTGTATGTGCTTCTTTTTTGAAAGATATTTTTTCAACTGATTTAGTGTTATTTGAATATCAAACAATTAAAAGACAAATATTCTCATTACACGACGCGATTAATCCATTAATCGTATTTATATTTAAAAAAAACTGAAGCCAATAGTAAATGAATTGCAAGCTTATTTACTTATGGAGTCATAATACAGTCGCCATGACTGATGAAAAAAGTCTTCAAACTGATTAATGACTTGTAACGAGAGACTATGTCCATCAATGTAGACTTTAATGACCTATGAATATTTTGGTAATAGTCCAGATCCTTAGGTTATTGCTGCGAAGATACTATGTCCTTGTTGTATTCTCTAAGTCAGTTCTACCACCCCTCAGTAACACCAGAAAAAATTGACTTTCGAATTTCGACTTGAAATTTTTGGACAGAGACAGATCTTAATGAAAATATTTTATTGAAAAAGTTTAATATCTTTTGATTTGCTTCTGTCCTAAAATAAGAGTAGATCTGAAAGTTTCGAAATAAATTATTCTCGTTAAAATTTATCTATGCAAAGTTTCAAGTGGAAATGTGAAAAATCAATTTTCTTGATGTTTTCGAGATCAAGTTATTCATAGCATATTAGAATCTACATGTTGCCCATAGTACTAATTTCAAAGAGATTAATTAGGTAGGAAATGTTCTTCGTGAGTGACGAAGTTATTCGACACGTATTCACAAGGTGCTGTGCACAAACGTTAGTACCACTAGTCATGGAATAACTGTGGACTAGTTACTAGCGGCTATGTGCTTCGAATCATCCGTTTGATAGCATTCTGACTACATCGTGACATACATCTGCTCTTGTCGTTAGTTAGTGTGTATGTAAATGGCAAGCACTCTGCGTCAGATATCAACTTTCTTTCTAGAGCTACATCTAGTATTAGTTGTAGGAAAAGTATCGGGCTATTGAGTCTACTGCTAGCCAGAATACCATACTGAAAGTTAGCTAAAAGGCAAGAGTGTTCTTTCTTTTCATGCATAATACAATCTATATGAAATGTGGTTACAATTCTATATAGGATAGTCAGAGATTATAATTTTTGTCATCTAATTTCTAAATGTTAATGTACGATCTTCATATTTAAAGCTATTAGCATGAAAAACTCATTCGTCGATATTGAATTAATGAAATACATGTTGTATTATTCTTATTGAATATATTTCTTTTTCTCTTTATTAAAGTAATGCAATTGGTCCATTGATTGGTCTTTGGTTAATCTATCTCGAAGGTACTGTTATTGCACGATCAGCAACACCACTTTGGGTACTTTTCTATGGTGGTCTTGGAATATCAGTTGGTCTTTGGGTTTGGGGTCGTCGTGTTATTCGAACAATTGGTGAAGATTTAACAAAAATTACACCATCAAGGTATAATACTTATTTAGTATATAAAGATTGTTGAAAATAAATATTGGCGTTTTTTTTCTCTACAGTGGTTTTGTCATTGAAATTTCAACTGCATTTACAGTACTTGTTGCATCGAATTTATCAATTCCAATAAGTACAACTCATTGTAAAGTTGGTAGTGTTGTAGCTATTGGTCGTGTTCGTTCAAAACAAAGTGTTGATTGGTCTTTATTTCGAAATATTATTGTTGCATGGATTGTCACAGTTCCTGTGACTGGTGGAATTGCAGCTGGTGTTATGGCTCTTCTTCGTTTTTCCTTTCTATAGAAGACTACTTTCATTTCCAAACCGTTGATACATAGCATTAACAATACAGTTTTTATCCATGATTTCTTTTCTTATCACCCTGTAGTATCAAACATAGAAATGATTTCGATTTCTTTTGTTTTTCGTTTTGTATGACGCTTTGTTATGTAAACGTGTTTTTCGATTTGAACACACCTATTATCTCGATAGATACTTATTAACATAGTCAGTCGCTGATGAATAAAAACGTGACAAAGTTCTTCTAGATTAGAAAAAAACAACAAAGAAAACAAACCAAACGTGTAACATGGCTTACAATAAAGTAATTATCTTTTATTCTATATCTGTGTATTTTTCGTTTTTTATTTATAGGAAGCATTAGCTCTTGTAATCGATATTGGTATTGGTATGTCTCAAGCACCACCAGGATTCGATTCACCTTTACAAATAACAAGTGATATACTTCAAATGATTGTTCAAAGAAAAGTATGTCGTATTATATCTTTAATTATCTATTTTAAGCTATTCGCGATTGACTAATCATTTCTATTCTTGATTATATTTTAAGCAGCAGTGTCACATATCCAAGATTTTGGAGATGCCACCACATCTCCTGCGGGAGACGCCGCATCTCGCGCGAGAGATGCGAGTGTGGGTGTGGGGGATGCGTCTCTCTAAAGGAGATCTTACATCTCCAGTGGTGAATGACCTCATCTCCCGAGTGTGGGTGCCGCGTCTCCCGCTGGAGATGCGGCATCTCCCGNTCTCCTGCGGGAGACGCCGCATCTCGCGCGAGAGATGCGAGTGTGGGTGTGGGGGATGCGTCTCTCTAAAGGAGATCTTACATCTCCAGTGGTGAATGACCTCATCTCCCGAGTGTGGGTGCCGCGTCTCCCGCTGGAGATGCGGCATCTCCCGCGGGAGATACGGTGGCATCTCCAAAATCTTGGATATGTGACACTACTCATTTTAAGAAAGACTCTACATTGTTTGAAGAATTTATCCGAAATCTTACTTTGATAATAACTGTGAAAATCAATAGTAGTCACTTGAAAGAAATTCATAACGTGTTGAACAATCGAATCTGCAATACCACATGATGGTAATCTAGAATATCTGACAAGTTGTGATCACTTTATAGATGTGTATAAGTCCACTATTAATAAAGTTGAATCCAAAACTTTTTTTTCTATTTGAGAGAGATAATCAGTAACTTTTTATTTCTAAAGACGAAATTTCAATAATACTGTAGAAAAAGTAGTAGTTTTGTCTATGATGTGGAAATCAGACTTTTCTTGAATGCTAATCATAATGTACACCTTTTTAAAAAATATTTCAGCAAATATCTATCGTTATTATGGATATCACACTCTGTAGATTATTGATGACTTGTCGAAAACTTTAATAACTATGTAGACAAATACGTCACACTATTTTATAACATTGCTGTGATGAAAGATTTGAACGATCCGATATCTTTCATAATGATAGAAATTTTCACAAATATTAAAAACAAAAGCTGTAGCCAAGTTCCGCATTGCAGACAAAACTGTTCTCTTTTCTGCAATGTTGATAAAGTTCGTCTTTAGAAATAAAAATTTCTGGATATTAGTTTAAAACAAAATTAGATTGATTAACTAGCCATGCCAAACGTTAGCTCACTTTATACCGAATGATCTACCAGCGGTTTTTGTTCAATTGCGAATCAGATGGCTTGATTTGATTTGATTTTTTTATTTAAATAGATGTTTCAAGAAAGCAAAGATGAATTAGCATTGATTTTATACGGCTCTGATGAAACAAATAATGAGTTAGCAGATGAAAATAGTTATCAAAATGTTAATGTTACGTTTTCTTTATCACCTGCTAATTGGCATTTATTTGAAGAAATACAAAAAATTAAACCAGGCAATGGCCCAGCTGATTGTAAGTCAATGAAAAATAAAAGCGAGAAAGAAGATTTAAATATAGAATTAAACAAAAATAATCGTTTTAGTGGTTGATGCAATTGTTGTTGCTGCTGATCATCTTCGTCGTGAAACTGAGTAAATAAAAGAAAGAGAAAAAAACTCTCTATTCATTAATGAACTTCATCACTTATTTTAGTGGCAAACATGGTTTTGTTGCTAAGCGTATTTTGTTATTTACAAATGCTGCAACACCATTCAATGATCATAGTCTTCAAATAATTCTTGAATCACTTCGACGCCAAGGTATTATTGTTGATGCTATTGGACCTACATGGGGTCAACAAGATGAAGAAGATGAAAATGAAGAAAATAATCGATCACATTCACCTACAGATACAAATGAACATGATGATAATAATGAAAATTCCGCTAGTAATCGTCCTACAACAAATGGTCATCATCATAAAAGTCCAAAAAAACCATTAACTCAACAACAACAAACTGGCGTTCGTATTATTAATCAAATTGTTAATACAACAGAAGGAACTTTATTTACATTTCGGTATGAAATAAAAACAAAAAAAAGGAGACATTCAACTTTGATATATAGGTCATTTAAGGCAGAACGGAACGCATATGTCGTTCATTTGGTTTCGATTCTTTATAAAGGTTATTTTTCTGAATAAGTTCTTTTAGTATAGACATATGCCACAACGCTGACTATTATTTAAAACTAATTAATTAGAAGTAGATTATTAACAAAGGGCAATTATCAAATATATCTATAACCATAACACAACATAAGAAATCGGTTTTCTAGAGATCCTACTAAGTCCTAAAAGAATTTTTTTTTATTTTTTACTACCATCTAGAGATTCTGAAGAAGAATTTGCACTGTTTGAAATTGGTATTGAATTTCACATTTGATTTTAAGATACTTTTTCGTTTGTAAATTTGTATTCTGTTACGTCGCTAACGCAAAGTAAATCGATTTTTTTTTAAATTTTTAGGCATGCTCAGAAAAAAAAAGTTTGATAGAAATTATAAAAAATGCTGTCCTTATTTGGAGTTTTTTTTAAACTAATATGTATGAAGTGATAGTCCATGGGATTTTTGATATCACATCACTAACGCTAGATTTTAGCTGATAACTCGTCTGAATAAAGGTTTCTAGTGATGATTTTTTCAGGATATCTGGAGTAACTTAACACACATGTAACATATAAAAATTAGCTCTAGAAAAGTTCAATAGTACGAGATATACGTAGTTTAATTTTACGAAATCATGTTGCTAATGAATGATTTGATTCATGAATTCATTTGTTTTAGTGAAGCATTAACAATTCTCAGTGTTCATCAATCAAAAAATGTTAAACCAACAGCAACAAAATATATCATGCAATTAGCTGATCTTAAATTACATATTTGTACTTATATTCAGGTTCGAAAATAGTTAAAGAGATTTATTTTCTAATCATATCATTCATTTTTAATCAGGTTAAAGATAATAAACCAGGAATATTTCGTTTAAAAAAAGTTTATGCACGTGATCCAACAAGTGAAATTAAAATTGATCGTGGTCGTTATACAAAAGATGAACAAGACCAAGAAATTGAAAAAGAAGAATTAACTGATGGATTTCGTTATGGTACAACATTTGTACCTATTAATAAAGAAACACTCGATGATATGAAATATCAAAGTGAAAAATGTTTTTCAATTATTGGATTTTCTGATGCTAATATGGTTTAATTTTTTTTTCTCTTCTATTAAATTTTGTTGTTTGAAATTATTTTGACTAGATGCGACGAAGTCTTTACTTAGGTGATACAGTTTATGAAGTTATTGCAGAACCAGGCTATGAAGTAAGTGATCCTCTTTCGTCGTGACTAAAAACATAACAAGAGAAAATATGTATCAAAATATATTAGAAAAATCTTCTGTATATAAGCGATTATGCTTCATATTTAATGTAAATTTTTTTCCTCTGTTAGGAAGAAGGTCAAGCATTTGCTGGTCTTGTTCAAGCAATGTATGACACAAATGCAGTTGCTATTGTACGTAGATGTTTTAGTGAAAGAAGTTCACCTGAATTAGGATTTTTACGTCCACATATTGCACATGATCATATTGTAAGTATGAAATTAAAGTTTTTTTTCAATTAATACAATGAAGATAAACATATCTTTTTTCTCTCTCTAGTGTATGTATTATGTTAAATTACCATTTGGAGAAGATGTACGTGAATTTAATTTTGATAATCTTGATGCTATTAAACGAAACCAACCAAGTGATGAACAATTAAAAACTATTGATCATTTAATTACAACTATGGATTTGACACATGCTGATCGAGGGTAAGAATGTAAGAAAAATTCAAAGAAAAATAAATTTCTATTAAATAGAGGTGAAGAAGCATTTCGACCAGACCTTGTTTTTAATCCATATATTCAACGAATGTTTCAAGTATGAATTTCATTTTTTGTTGTATTATATTATTTTGATTAAAAATCATTTTAGTCTATTGCACGACGTGCTGTAACACCTGAAGAACCATTATCATTATCAAATACAATTATGGAAATGAATGATACATTAGTTCAATCAGTTGCTTCAAAGAGTAAACGAACATTAGATACACTTCATGAACAATTTACTCTTCGAGATACTGAACGTCGACAAAAAATGATGACTGGTGAAAAACTTTTTGGTAATATTGATAAGTAAGAAAACTTTTATTTTGAAACGGAAAAAAAGAATATTTTCTTATTTTAAAGTTCAACAAAAAAAATGCGTCTTGAAGAAAACGACAATGTTGAAGAACTTACAACAGATTCAACATCATTTGAAGCACAATTAGCTGCAAAAAAGAAAGCAGCAATAAGAACAATTGGTACAATAACACCGATTGAAGATTTTAAGACTTTAATTGAACAAGGTTCATCATCATTTACTGAAGTATGTCAACAAATGTCTACAGTTATTCTTGAATTTATTAATAATTCACGTGGTGATGCATTATTCGACAAAGCCTTACAATGTATACAATGTTTGCGTGACATGTGTATTCAAAAATTAGAACCAAAAATATTTAATGACTTAGAAATTTTAATTAAAAAACAAGCAGGAAATATTGACGGAAGAAAAGATTTTTGGAAAAAAGTTGTTGATGGTATGTAAAGAAGGAAGTAAAAAGAAGACAGAGTTTTAAATGAATAGGTACAAAATATTTCCGGTTCCATCGGAATTGAGGCTGTGATCGGGATCAACACTTTTTCATTGGAAACGATACCTTCTATGCTTGTGTGAAATGTGCATTGAACATCATATGATCACGACTCATGTTTATAAATAGATATGGCCAAGATGACTTCAGTCTCTGCGGAACTGGGACCCGTTCATGTCTAGTTTAAAAACAAAAATGTGTTAAGATGTTTCAGGCTAAAGCTGTTTATGTATTTTTACATCGAAATGATGTAAATTTTAATAAGAAATGAATATGATTTGACTGAAGTACGAAAACTTTATCAAGACAACGAAATAGTATGTAACTTTGTAGTGAGAAAAATCTGAATAAGAATAGTAATGTGTGTTCAAAATTTTGAGCAGATATTCGAAACAGATCATCATATTGTGATGAAGTAAACTGAGAAAATTCGATATGTTGACGAAATGAAGCTAGAAATACAAGAATAATGATTAAATTTTAGAAAGAGTTTTTCTTATTAGACTAGTGTAAGCGCCGTTCGACGTAATTTACCTCTTATGAGCTTATGTCTTGGGTATATAAAGAGGATCTCTAAACTAGAATAATTCTAAAAGGATTCTGCTAGATAGAATTTGTCTGTCGAGTTACGATAATTTTGCTGAATTTTTTAGCTCATATTTTGCCTACATTATTTCCATCAAATCGATTGCTTTCTCTTTGATATATTCTATATTTGAAAGTTGATTAAATTTTCGAAACGATCAGAAAATTTCGAAGTTTGTGAACTTCGAATATTTCAAGAAGAAAACAATCATGTTCACTAACACTTTCAGAGAAAATGTCAGATAAAACAGCCTTTGTAAGATTTAACTGCTCATATCTTGACATATGGAAAAAATTCAGCAAAAAAGAAGAAATCTTTGAATAAAGATTATTCTTGTAGAAATAAACTGAGTACAAATAGTTTAAAATCAGTTTAATTTTTCATAAGAAAATCAAATTCCATTGAAAATAGATCCTCTAACAGATGATCAATAGTCGCAGTCACGATAAATAAATACATTTTTTTTGTGCCTTAGAACTAGACATGAATTTGGCAAAAATTTTTTTCTGTTTCCAGTGCCGATAGAAAACTAGTCTTTGCAATTGTCGATAAGTTTTTAAAAATTTGCATGGTGAATTATCTAGTCGGTAATAGTCTCTTTTTTATGTGTTTAACTTGGGATGAAGAAGATAAATTCTGTTAGTTATATGGTTCTATTAGCTAAATCTTTTTTTTTTTCAGTTCTGATAGGACCGAGATCAATATATTTTAATGATATAAATTATCTTTCATTTGCATGAAAACATTTTGAAAATTTTTATTCTTTTTTTTTAGAAAAAATCAGTTTAATAACTAGTGACGAATGCATTGAATCAAATGTGATATCTATTGAAGCACAGAAATTTCTCGAAGAAAACACATCAACTGAAGTTGTTAATAATGCATTAATAACTAATGAAGACGATGGTGATGAAGAAGATCTTGTATGTAGAATAGTTTTTAAAATTTTCTATTTATAAATTATGTTTCTATTTTAGTTTGATCTCATTTAAGAACAGAAAACAAGAAGAGTTACGGTGATATATAACAAAATTTTATGATATCTTTTTTTAGTTAAAATTTAATTCTAGAAAATAATATATTTTGTATATAACATATTGTTTATGATATGCTTTTATTTTTAAAGAATGTAATAATCAATTAAAAAAAAACAGAATAAAAATAAATCGTATATTTTTTTTTGCATTATCGGCCAAACTATTTGTTTTGCTTTTGTCCACAATTGACAATAAATTACTTGAGTTGAAGCTTGAAATATATTAACAAGACGTAAATGTATATATGAATGATTTGCTATATCTTTAGGTAATATCTAATAGATTTTAATATTCAGTAGGAAAATTGATTATTTGATAAGCGAGTTTTCATTTAAACAAAGCTAATAAAATGATGTCAGACACAAGTATGAAATTCTAAACACAATGTATTCAATCTTAAGATTATCTAAATCTTTCTTGATTAAGAAAAAACTTACCGGCGTAGCTCGTTTGAAGCTAAAATGTGAAACTCACATGTGCTCGTTAACCTCATTACACCGATACAAAATATGTTAAGTGAAAAACCTGTATTACACTATATTTGCTTTAGAAAAATAATCAATTGCAAGGCAAATAATCTCTTTTATTTATTTCTGTATTCAAACAGAAAATTCTTTTATTTTTATTGGCACTTTCTTTTTTGTTTATCTTGCTATTATTCGCTCATTTGCGTATTCCGTTTTTCTTAGTGTAACAGTATTATTATTCTGCCCGTAGATCTTAACTGACAGCTAAGCCTGTTGTGCATATACGATATCTCTACAGCAAATTCCAACAATAGAGATGTACGAGACCAAGTTTTTCAGTCCCGATCCTGAAAACTATACCAGAATTTATTCGTATAGCATCTAAAGTAATTCTCCCATGCTCATTTGTTTTTTATTTAGTCGACGATTAGCACGAATCATCTCTCTTCAATTGTGCTCTGATTCACATATAACTTATATGGTGATTTACTTGAAATCATAGAATATTTTGCTATAAACTTGAGTTCTGGTCTCGGTAAAGTTTCGCTTTTTTGTTTCGCACATTTCTACTCAACACACTAAAGACTTTGAAATTTTCTAGAACAGTCTAAGTTTTGTTGTTCTAGGTTGCTACGGAAACGTACACAACGGTCGTTAGCGTTACCTTCTCGCTCCATTATTACGAAAAACATACTCATTGGTCTGTGGTCTTTGATATCTGATACTAGAACCAAGGAAGGGAAAACGCCGCGAAAACGTTGATTTTAACTCACATTTCCTATTTTATTTGAAAATATGTGTGAATTTCACAAAAAAACATAGAACGAGAAACTGAGACTAACTTTGCATCATTGAAATTATAAGGAGACAGCTGTTTTATTTTGTCATTCGTCTTCAAATCTTAAAATTTTTTCTTACAACTCTTATACGATTATAGCAGATGCTAAAATATTATGTTTCATGGTAAATATAGTTTGATAATATGCAGCAAAGAACTAGTAGACGATATTCATGAAATTAAAATTAAAAAAAAAATTCATGAAAGTCATAAATTTTTCTATGAAAGACACGGAAAAATGACGTTTCTGCTAAGGAAATGGACATTAAAATTGAAGTATTTTACTTTCATGAATTAAAATGGATATTTTTATCAAGTAAAATGCTATGAAAATGGTTTTTAATTAAAACCATACAATTAAATTTATGAAAATGTCCGTTTCATCCTCCGAGATACCATTTTTTATGAATGCAGATGTGTTCTTACGAAACCTTTTTTTTTCATTTTATTTCGATAGGAAAAACATACAAACACACAATTAGTACTACATCCAGGCCAGAAATGGAACCAGTACCAACATGGATTTCAAATCGGTCGGTTGCCGCTAGACTGATCAATATCGATGTATCTAATTTGTTTTTTTTCTCTTATTATCTCGTAGAGGATGTATAATGAAACTTTGTTAAAAGTTGATTTCATCAAATATCACAATTCACAGATTGAAATGCACGGCAATGCATCAGTCCAGTGTTCGTATGGATTTTGGACTGACCTGTCCGGTCTGGCCCACTTAGATCGATATCGGTCGTGAAAAACTCAGGCCCACTAACACTAGAGGAATACATTCATGCATATATATATATATATATATATATCACACGCATCCAAGGTTAAGAAAAGAGAGAAAACGAAAACACAATACAGAAATATCATGTCAAGACAAAAAGAAATACACGAAAAGTGACATTTATAACAAGAAAAGTTCTTCATTTAGATTTCCATCACATCAGATTTCATATACAAATTCTTTAATGATTGTGCTAACAGCTTTCGATATCAATACAATAATTAGTTTTGTTTTTATTTTTTTGTTCAAATAAATTCTCAATTTTTTGTTTGAACACGCCAAAAATAAATTATATTCCGTCTATTTTGATATCATTAATATAAAAAACTACAAGACGTGACAATTAGAATTTCTGAAATAAGTTTTTTCAGTTTAAATATTAGTATAAAATTTTTATTTTATTCGTTATATACATATATATATAAACTCAATATTTATCAAGATCATCATAATAAAATGACGTTACTTATCTATCTTTTAAAATTTTCGATTCTTATACATTTATCTAGAAGTTCTTATATGTATGGAATAATTCATAATGCATCAATTGAAATTCCTTTTGATATACCTGGTAATCTTAGTCATAAATCATTAGCTTCATATTGTGATGAATGTCTTTGTGAAGCATTTAATCATCCTAATGTAACATTATTAACATGTACTGAAAATGAAACGATGAATTTTATTTGTCAATTTTATTATTTTATGCCTAGACGAGATGAAATTATATATCCAAGCAATGATACAAAAATATATTTAATACAAAATAAAACATTTGAAGAAACAGATGACTGTTGTAATACAACATATCTTATTGAAAGAATTAATGAAGCATTAGGTAAAAAAAGAGCCATTTTCAACGGAAGCCTACGTTTTCTTGTTCGTGGCGATCATAATACGATAGTTTCAACATCTAACAACAAATTAATGAAATTTGATACATCAACGCTCGAAGTAGTTAGTAGCTCTATACCTATTCCGAGTTCTTCAACTGTTGGTTATCGTAATAAATATTATTATCTTGGTAAAGAAAATATAATACATGTTTATGATGAAACATTAAGTTCAAATATAACAAGCTTTTCAGTTGGAAATGGTATAACAGCTATTCGTTTTCTTAGTAATGAGCAAATGCTTGTAGGTACAGCTGGGTCAGGTGGATTTATATGTGAAACACAACAAGAAATGTTTAATAACTGTTCAAATACTCCAATGGTACCTGCAACTGGACAATTACATGCTTTTGGTGTTGTTAATGAAAACGCATTTTATGCTGGTTGGGATCAACAAAATCAGAGCCTTCGTTTATATAAGAAAGATCAGAATAATTCATGGACAGAAAGTATAAATGATACTATTACTCAAAATGAGAAAATATCAGATATCGTTATTGATAATTGTGATCGAATATGGGCAGTTATAGTAGAGAAGAACATAATAGTTATCTATGATCAAAATAAAGCTCATCCATATAATATAACATTTAATTCAAATATGTTTCAGTCTAGTATATTTAATCTTTTTATTCTTGACAATTATACATTTGTTACATCGCATGAAAAAGGGCCTGGTTTAAATCTTTTCGAACCAAATCTGAATTGTCGTCGTAAAAAAAAATAATAAATATATTTGTATCAAAAAAATTTAACAAAATTTTTCAATAAATTAAAATACATAGATATTAAAAACTTATTATGAAAAAACCTATAAGAATTTCTTGTTCACAATAAACTTAATGATATGAAATGAAAACAAAATTCACTACAATTTGGCAAACTAGATAGAACCTGATTATCATTGTCATCTTGAAAACTATTATTAAATTCTATTATATAAGTATAAATAATCGTCATTTTGACAGCGATCTGCATTTCAACATGTACAATGTAGGTTGTCGTAAAACATCGCAAATCTTGAAAAATATCAATGCTTTTATCAAATTTCATCGACTCACACAATTCAGTCTGTAGACATTATAAAAACGTCTAAAAAAAGACTAAAAAGAAAGACTTAGAATTATGCTTCCTACCACAAATGATATTATTCACAGGTTATTTCTATATTCTCGTTTAATTCTTTACTTCTTGACATTAATCCATTAGACTTTGTATTGATTAAACCATCAAAATACCATATACAAGTACTAATTATGACAACGATATTATCAAAGACAACCATAAGGTTTTCTACGATTTTTACTACGGAAATGAATATAGATAGGTTTTTTAAAGACAGAACTGGTCAAGTAAAGGCTTTCTCAAGTACGAGTACAGCTAAAGCCGCACTTTAAAGCGAGAATTTGCAGTACGATTACTTCGGAACATGTATTGAGTCCTGTCATAGAATCATTATTGAATATAAATGAGTTCACTTTTACATGATATCGAAAACGACAGAAATTAGATATTTGCTTCATCTTCGAAGAGGAGAAATAAGTACATGGTATTACTTTAATACAAAGCATTTTATCTAAAATGACGAAAGTGAATAAGACTCTGTTTCTGTCCTCAAAGTGTTTCATTTTTCTGTGTTGAAATCAAAACAGTGGCAACATCCGATAGTACTGCAAAGTTTTATTTCACAACACGTCTCTATCAAATTTTCGAGTCACACGTATACTCCTCTGCGAGGAGAACAAAAATTTAGCTATCCTTTCAAGGATATGGATGTGACTTGAAAACTTGATCGAGAGATATCGTGTAATAAACCGTTGCAACGATATTGAGAGTCACCACTAAATTGATTTCAAGAAAAAAATTGAAATACTTCATGGGCAGAAAATGGTCTTAACCGTCCTTATCTTTGATTGCTTGACACTCAAGTACGAATACTTCGAGTCTTTTCCCCAGCTCTATCTAGAGAGAGACTTTTATATTTAATAGTGTATGCATTATTAAGTTCTACTGCGTGCTATTGATATATCAATGATACGCAGTAGAATTTGATAC